AGAGAGAGAGAGAGAGAGAGAGAGAGAGAGAGAGAACACGTTTTATTTATTATTTGAATAGTTTTGGGCCAAAAAGTCCTTCGCCAGTGTCTGTGGGCAACAGGTTTTAAGCGCTGTTGACTTTCTCTGGCAGCCACTGAATTGACAGTTAATATAAAAGCCATTCAATATTATATATAAATACCAAACAAATCATTACAAACTTATTGTCATTCATTGAATTTTTTTTCTTCCCTTCACTTGAAATTTACTTTTGTTTTTCTTCTCTAATAAAACACACCATAACTTCTTTATTAAGAAATCTATGAGTTATTGTGTATTTTGCAGACACAATGCAAACGCTAAACAATATACCGATAAAAAGCAAGGATTTGCCTCAAAATTAATCGATATTTTTATGCATATATTTATTTATTTGTTGTTTTCCTTTCGCGCAAATTATAGTAAATAATTGAAAATTCAAATTCTGGCAAATAATTTGATTGCATTTTATAGAAATCGAGATTTACTTCAATAAATCACAATAGACTGCAATCACAGACTGTGTGTCCGCTTATTAATTATGAAATATTTATTGTATTTCATAATTAAATTATAGAGCATTAATATTTTGGTGTTTTAGCCCATAATAAATATTTAAAATGTTAATGATTATGTTACATTTGTCAAAATTAAAATATTCTTGTTAAACAATCACTATTTAACGTCTACACTAAAATGTGCTAGTTGTTAAATTGGGTATTTTTGGGGGCAGATTATTTGATAACAATAAAAATAGCTCACAATGCAATTTCAATGCAATTTTATATACTTTGTATTATAATAAAAGCGTTTAATTATAGTCTTTTTATTGCTTTTATGAATAATTTCATGAATTACTCGACAAATAATAAAAATATAATTTTGTTGTAAAAATGTAAGAAAGCATTTGAATTGAATGGCAGAGGAAATACTTCAACGCATAATTAAATGGTGAATGAGATTAATGTACTTTTAAATAGTCTCCAAAACATATGTCGTCTTTAATGAATTTAAAACATTTATTTCTTATACAATATAAAAGTGAAAAAGCATTGAAAATAAATCAGACTTTTTATCCAAACAATTCAAGTGACAGTTTTATTAACGAGTTGTTTGTAATATTTTACACAATAATATTTACCACTTATGGTAATAATGGTAAATATATGGTACAAAAGTGAACAAGGTTTGTTTAATAAGCCACTCACTTAAGTATTGAATTTTCATTTTTAGTTATTATAATAATTGGAGGCTTTAATGCATGCCTTTTAGTACATCTAATATATCACTTAATTATTTGTTAAACACTATTGTGTTTTTGAATAGACGTTAAGAGAAAAACCTTTTAATTATATCTGTAATTATAAATTGTGAGAAGAGGTGCGAAAAACCTGTTGTTTTTACTATTTAAACAATTTGACGCTTGAATAAGAAAAACAATACATTGTTTGCAATGATAGAGAAATATGTTTTATTTGTATTGCAATGAAACGCAAAATACAAATAAATTTAAATATTTCATTAAAAATTAGTGAGTATTGGAGTTACAAATCAAAGACATTTGAATATCATTAGCAAAAATCACTAATTAATACTAAAACGTGTTGACTCTTATGTTTTTAATTAGACTATTTTGAATGATTCAAAAACATTATAAAATATTTATAAAATATTACAACAATAAATATATGAGAGATTCAAACAAATTGGGGGTGAATTAGAAAAATCATTTAGCGATACAATAAAAATACAAATAATAATTAAATCTAATTTAGTTTTTTCAATGTTTGGCGTGGGGTTTGGGGGCTGACAGCGGATGGCGTGGATTTGGGCATTGATTTTGTATTACAATAAGTGTTTAAATAGAAAGACGTGAACAAAATGAGATACAGAGGCGGCTGTGCGACAGACGTGCAGATGAGTATCGTTGGCCAACCGGTCTGTTTGAATAGGTATGTCGTGCCGTACACGAAGAACACCATGAACTGGATCAGTTGCACTTGCGTTATGTAGCGCTTCCACCACAAGTACTTCTGGACGGACGGCCCGAACGCCGACAGAGCGTAATAGGTGTACATCAAGACGTGTACCGCGGAGTTCAGTATCGGGAATATGCCGTTAACGCCGGCCGTCGGCGCGAACTTCACGGCTAACCAAACACAGAGAGGGACAGACGAGTGGTGGTAGAGGTGAAGGGGCGACACCTGTGACCACTTCTTGCGCAGCACGAAGAACACGGTGTCCATCAGGTCTATGATCTTTGAGATGAAATACCAGTAGACGAATGTCAAGCGCCGCATCTCCTGAGCGGACAGGTCTTTGGTGTCGTTCGGCGGGTACTCGAAGTTCATGAGAGCTCTGCCGAACTCATAGGCCTGTATGGACTCGAAGAAGAAGTACACATTCAATACGACCATAAATATGTTGTACGCAAATATGGGTCCTCGCAGTTGATAGGGTTTCCGATTGGCCATCAGTTTCGGTCCCAACACCAGCGAGAATAGTAGGTATGCGACGAGTATTGCAGTGATGGGCCATAAGCCGCCCCGGAATAGAAACGTCTCGTCTATTATGACATTTGTCCGCAAATTGCGGCCACTTTTGTATAGAGTCAACAATGCGTTCAACGGATTCATGACAATCATATCCGACGTGTTAATCATGTTTTGTATAGACTTTAAAACTAATTTAATAAAATAAAATGATATTTTACGATAAGATGAGAATATTAAAAGTGATGATAAGTATTTTGTGGCCAATTATATTAATGGATATTAAAATAAATATAAAATATCGGATACGATGCCAATCGTGTGAAGACTCGTTAAAAACTGACTGAAAAATGTGTGAATATTTTTATATTCTTCCCCTCGAAGGACGACAACAGGAGTGAAAGTGAGGGATGAATATGTTGTACACCTTTTCATTACCTCTTATTCCTCAATACAAACAAACATTTTTCTGCGGAAAATTTCTGAACACTTTTAAAACCCAATATACATATGTATGACTTGTATTTATATTTTGTTTTTTAGTGTTTTTTCGTTGAGATTCTCTCTTCATTTAAACTTGAAATTCACTTCTCATCTCAAACACGATAAAAGTTATTCACAAAAGTATTTTATCAGTTGTTTTACACAAAAACTTGTGGTTTAGTAGAAAATGTTAGTGAAATATAATCACTTAATCAACGCCTATTAGACATGTATTTAGGAAATCCCTCAGAGGTTCTTGTGATCAAAACTTGACTTTCATTTTACATAGTTTTCAAGCAATTTGTAATTTTTAACAAATTGTTTATATCTTTGCAAATATCTTCCGACTTTTAATCAAACAATAAATTCATTAACATTTTTAAGTAAGTGTTAAAAATGTGCCAAAAGTGCACTTCAGGTCTTATTATTGTATGTAAATTGTAATCGTCTGTCACTTATATAATGATTATACGGTTTTAAAATATATTACACTATCACTAGTAATATGTGATTTAATGTGCATTTTTAAGGTCTGCTGTATATCTCAAGAGCATTAATATTTCGGGTATTAAATAATTAATTGTTTGTTTGTTTGAGTTTTTACTACTGTTTTAGCATTGATTTCAACTAAACAGTCGAAGGATTTATCATTTAAACAGTACTTAACGTCAAACATATAACACACTCTTCCCTGATATTAACGTTTTGCTATTGTTTCCCAAATTTGTATATAAAAATGTAATCACTTATTGATGCTATTTATTGAAATTTTGTTTTATTTGATTTTTAATTATTTAATTTCAATTCAAATAAACAAAACCAGTCAAATATATTTCTATAAAAGCATGAAATATAGTAATTACAGTAATTAACTATATTTTGTATTGAAGTATGTCTTCAATTGTGTGGAAATATCCAAATCCTAAATTCATATCCATATCTAATCGCATAAATTTAATTAATTACGACAATAAGCTAAAATATTAGTATAATCTTTGGTGACATAAATTTAAATGTTTGGCATTTATTAATGCTCTCAATAAATAATAATCATTTAAATTATAATTTCCAAACAATATGTTTGTGTATATATTTTTTCTGGAGTGCATTATCGGTATAAACAGGAATTGGGACTCAAAATCAATAAATTGTTGCTTTGAATGCATTTCACAACACAATTGTACTCTTATTAGCTTAAAGTCCACAATAAGTTAGACTTTAAGACTCTTTTACTCTTCAGTTATAAATCAATCGATTAGAACAAAGTTGAAGGTATTGTCCCATTGTTTGCCATCATTACAGGCAATAAGTCTTTTTTAATTCATAGTATAATAACCCATAAGATATACAGTAATACCTCAATACTTATTCTTATACCATCATGTACGATTAGACTTAAAATTTTAGTTTTAAAATGTTAGCTAATAATAGTTCTTGAATAGCTTAATATTTATCTAGTTTACCTAACGTTTAAATAATTAATTTTATTAAAAATTAAACAAATTATGTTGAAATCAGGAAATTACAAATATATTTTATAATTTGATATTGGTGCTATCAGGTATTATTTTATAATTTTAATTGTTAAATATTGATATAATTAATAAGATATGATTTTAATGTAGCAACAATTTAGTGCAATATATACTGAGAAGTGTTGTGTAAATGAATGTAATTGAAAGTAATAACCAATTAAATCAATAATAAAATCAGAACTATAGAAGTATAATATAGTTTCAATTAATTCAAATCACTATATAATGAATTGTTTTCAAATAACATCATATGTCTTGTGATTATTATTATTGGTTATCTAATCAGCGATTGGGACCCAAAGTATTGTTTTCCTTCCCAAGAAAGCTATTGCAAAATAAAGTAAACCTAAAACAAACACTCACTAAATGTTTTATAAACATTTAAACTTAAATGAATAAAACAAAAATCTGTAATTTATATTAAAACTTAAATTTATATAAAATATAATCTGTTTTATAATATAAATAAAAAATTAGACAAGACACTTCATGACAAGATCCGTTATAACATGTTATGATTGGGTAATAAAAAAGCACATTTTACTAGTAAAAAATTGTAATCATAATCAGTTAAATATACAAAACTTGTAAATGTGAAAGTGAGGGGATGAATATGTTGTACACCTTTTCATTACCTCTTATTCCTCAATACAAACAAACATTTTTCTGCGGAAAATTTCTGAACACTTTTAAAACCCAATATACATATGTATGACTTGTATTGATATTTTGTTTTTTAGTGTTTTTTCGTTGAGATCCTTCCCTGGTTATCTAATCAGTGATTGGGACCCAAAGTATTGTTTTCCTTCCCAAGAAAACTATTGCAAAATAAAGTAAACCTAAAACAAACACTCACTAAATGTTTTATAAACATTTAAACTTAAATGAATAAAACAAAAATCTAGAATTTATATTAAAACTTAAATTTATATAAAATATAATCTGTTTTATAATATAAATATTTTTTAATCTGTTCTGTGAAGTACTGTTCTAGGCAATATTGTACAATACTAACCCATTATTTTTTCGTGTAAAATGATCATTTTTTAACATTAGTATTAGTCAATTTATATGTTTTGAACATTTACCTTTTCATTTTGCTTTCATTCATATCGATATTAATATCGGGTTTGCGATGACGTCTACATAACACGTGAAAGTGCTTTAATGCCATAAATACAGAGATCTCAACGACGAAAACCGTCAGAAAGCAATTCAAAGCCATTCAATGGACAGTTGACTATAACTCCTGTAGTGAACGGAGAGATACAAAACGCGAATCTATTTTGACATTTATTGTTCAAAAAACGCAAACATTATTTAATGAGTCGAAGTTTATATAAAACAAAATTTTATAATTTTCTACTTTTATTCACATTTCACTTATTGGACGACGAGATCGAGGATCACGACTTTCTCATACTGCAGCTAACTCCCGAACACCCGGTATTCCTCAATATAGACACGGACCTAATATGGGGAAGAAGAGAATGGGTATGATAAACAATGGTGTTGTGGCCATTCACAGACATCAATGACAATAGGTGTGTAAAATAAAATTAATTAAGCAATGTTATTTTATAATATCTGCACAATGTCATTAACCTATTGGTGATAATGAACTATACTATCATAGCTTTGTTATATACTTTCTTTAAGACAATTACATAATTTTCAAATAGTTTTACAAAAATGTCAAACTTTTGTAGTTTTATTCATTTCGCAAAAGTGTTACAGAAAAAGGATTTTTAATATTTTATAATAGTTTCTATTAATTTTCAATTTATTTAAACCTAATTTGCAAGTGATTTAAATTTTATTCTAATATAAAATGTAATTATTAAAAATGTAATAAATTTATCATGTGTTTCAAAGCACAATACAGTTATATAATTGTGAGCATTGAAACGGTTTCATATGTATGAATATAATTGGCAGTAATTTTTTGGTATTTTTTATTCACTTCCTAACCATAACATTGAACTATTTTTTTGCTAAATTATTATGAAATGATCACTACTTTTCTTATTTCTATTCAATTATATATACCATAATCTAAACCCAATTCACGAGTAATATTAGGACATAAATAAGTGATACTTTTAATCAATGAATAAAATTCCTCTTTTAATACAAGCGATTTATTTATTAGAAAAAAAAATCTTAATGTAAATTAAATATACTATCAATGAGTTTAATGACAATCTTTGAGTTAAATTCCACCCCTAAGACTAAATATAATGCACAGTAAACAAAATGCTTGCGAAACACTCTTGTAATATAACGATATACTGTAAAGTATTTACTGAATCCTAAGCTTCGGTTCAAAGTTTTTTCATTTAAAATTCAAAGTGTTATGAAAGAAATAATGTTTTTGATAACAATTTAACAATCAATTAATTGAATTGCAATTAAATATATGTGAAATATAGGCCGGAAAATGCGCTTATGTTGTGCTCGTCATGAGTTTCTATTGGTTTTCGGAAGCGATCCCTATATCTGTGACGGCACTGTTGCCGATGGTATTGTTCCCATTGCTCGGTGTCTTATCTTCAGACCAAACCGCCAAAGCCTATGTCAATGTAAGCGCACATAATTATCATTTGTTTTGACTGCTAATAACATGTCTGAGGGTCTCATTGAAGGGCACAGTCATGATATTCTTGGGCAGTCTTATAGCCGCCGCCGCCGTCGAGAAATCACTCCTACATAAGAGGATTGCATTAAAAGTGCTTTTAGTGACCGGAACTTCACCTAAAAGGTGCTGTCAATTGGTTTTCATATTTAAAAGTAATAAATAATTTATAATTGTTTTATTTATCAAATAGACTATTGTTTGGATTTATGTTTACGACGGCATTCCTGTCGATGTGGATCAGGTGAGTGATAATTAAGACACATAGAATAGTGACAATTTGAATATAACCTTGATATATTTAATGGGCAGCAATCTGGCGGCCACAGCGCTTATGATACCCATTATAAACGCAGCTTTGGATCAAATAAAGCAACGGAAGTCCAAATCGTACGGAACTCTAACCCAA